GTGAGGGGACAAGAAAAATTGTGTGGCAGCTGTGGACGAGCTATAGGGGGTTTCAGGAAAAAGGTAAAAATGTCAAATTAACGGTGAACACAGTCGAATTTTAGCTTATATGTGGAGGAGCTGTGGGGGGATATGTGGAATGCCCCACACAAATAAATATATAATATAGGGAGATTTTGATTTATCCATTGATTTGTATAATTTTTTTTCAATTTATATAAAAGTATGAAGTTATTTGTACGCTTAGCTGTTTTTTGGTAATATTTGTAATCAATTTAGTAAGAAGTTTTAATTTTTCATTTGTTTTTGGATAGTATGATACTATTACAAAGATAAATTTGAATAACACTTGATTATTCAACAACGCAAGCCGTGAAAGTATTGCCCTATTAGGGAAGCTCATTGTTATGAGTCAACTCACAAAACCAGTCAAGTTATTTGATTAATATTTATCATGCTGTCAGATAAATGTGTGTTTATAAAAAAATTTGTATTTATTTGTATTTAAATGAAATATAATAAAATTGTTGTATGGAACTTGATGTTGATAAGGATAGTTGAAAATTATTAATCATTGTATTACCTAAAGGTCTGTATAGGTAAAAAAAATAACAGGAAGGTATCAACGGTACCTGCGGACTTGCAGAAAAAGATGGATGAGTATTTGAGAAGTGTTTAAGGCATGATTTTTTATATGGATAATATTTATATAACAGATCCTACGCCTAAAGAAACTATTACGCGAACAGAATAGCGGTAATGAAGAAGCTAAAAGAATGTGGACTGAAATTAAATTAAAAAAAATATAAATTATTGAAAGGAAAAATCGAGGTGTTAGGATTCATAATCGATAAGGATGAAATCAATCAAACAATAGTTAATGTGATAAAATACACAATAAATGGGTTACCAGGCAAAAAAGAACCTTCAGAAAATGAGAAAATGTAATTTTTGAAAAAAATGTGATTTACTGTAGATGATGTATATTTTTTGGGGGGCTTAAAAGGAGTGATTTCAAAAATCATGCTAGCGTTATTGTTAAAAGAATAACATGCTCCACATATGGGAATTGTAAAGATCAAAATGCTTGCTAGGTCGTATGCGTGGTAGCCAGGTTAATATTAAAAGTCATGTGGAATATGTTTAATTGAGCAAAAGAAACCACCACAAACTCCAGTAACTCATGGCTTCGACCTGACCGTGAATGGCATCGCATTCATTGTGAATTTTTTGGATCATTTCACGGAGACATATCTAGTTATTATTGATGCTCATACGAAATGGCCCAAAGTTTTGAATTTAAAAAAAATCATGGAAGCTTATGGGCTATTAGAAAAGTTTAAATGTTTATTGGCACGTTATGATTCACCTATTCATGTGGTTACAGATGGCGGACCACAGCTTAGGTCAGACGAATTTTTAAGTTTTGAAAAACAAAACAGAATCGTTCATAGTTTTTCGTCACCGTATCATTCTGCAACGAACGGTGCTACAGAGAACTTCGTAGGAACATTTAAAAGGTGTCGACAATTACAAAAGGGGGAACACTCAAAAATGCTGTTAATTTATTCCTAATTGATTACCTCAAAATCATACATTGTACTACGGGTAAAAGTAATCATGTAGTTCCCCTTTAGGAGTGTTTGCTGCCCTCTACCTGTTTTCTTTTTTCTAGAAGACATGGATTGTTGACGTTTTTCAGGGCTGTCTGATAAACTCTTATTTCTTTTAAACCGTTCTATTTCCTTAAGGGCAATGTTCAGGGTTCTTTTCTGAACATGTCGTCGTAAATTATCTCTTCTATATTCTCTGTATTGCAGGGATTAAAAATACTCTTTCCAACTTCTCTTCACATTTTCTTCCTTTAAAAGGACGCTTGTTCTAGTCGACTCAGCTGCTTCCAAGTGTTAAAGCGCAGCTTTTAGACCATTTTTAACGGTGTTTGCAGTGTGCTCATACTTTTCCTTAATTGCCTCAAGCGTCTCTTTCATCTCTCTTGTTGCAGATTGAACTTGCTCAATCTCTTCCATTCTCTTCTTTTTTAGCTCAGCATCATCACTTTCCATCGAGGCGAGCTCATCTTGCGTCTAGTTGCTGAAGTCAGTCACGTTACTACCCTCGATAAAGTTACTGCCTATGCTGGAAAGGCTTCCTCTTCGTTCTGCATCTGTAAGAATAGGCCATGGAATGTTTAACAGTCCCGGTTGGCCATGAGACGCGTCATTGTGGCCCCCCCCAGAATCCACGGGGCCAGCGGCAGTCACCTGAGCTTGAACCGGATCGTAACTGCTGGTGGATTCCCTCAAAGAGATTAACCGCCTGGGGTACTAGTTTTACATTGACGTTCTTCATTTTGGGTTCTTCTTGAAATCGTGTTGACCGGTGAAAGCCAACACTTCCCTTTTTTCCGAAAATAAGTGTCTGGAAAGGGTAAAAACCAGCGCCGCAGCCCATTTCGTTGCCGAAGATAGGCGCTACTTAATCGGGCCGGCCGAAAGTCGCCGCTCTCCCTCAGTCCCACCAGCAGACACCGCCCTGGAGTTATGTAGAGAAAATGTGGAAGTGGTGTATGTGTGTAGTGTATGTATGTGTTGGTACACTACAGTCATCCCAGGGAGACGGGCTGGATTTTTTCGCGTCTTACATCATTAATGAGCAAGCTCGCCACCATTTGCTAGAGGTGCCAATCCTCTCGAGTCCTGAAAAGGACTCGGGGTCCCTGAAGGCCAGCATCCGTTTCCTAGCGCTTCAACCAGTAAGTAAACTCAACGCCACGTGGGTCCGCATTACTCTTTAAATATGCATTCATACTATTTAATCATACCATACAAAAAAAAAACTGCTGCTTAAGAAGCAACCTCAGCGTCCCGCATGGCGGCTCCCTTCTCTTTCTTCTTACGACGGACCACTAACTCGACATAACCGTCTACCGCCCTTCATCCCCCTTCTGTGCGGAGCATCTCAGAGATGATGTTTCAGGGAGTGGAGGCCACGCTGAGCTTGTCTAACAGTTGCTGGCGCTCATGGTTCCATCTTTTGCACACAAAAAACGTGTGTTGGACGGTATCATCCAACGCGGGACAGTAGACACATCTGGGGGATGCTTTCACCGCCACGTGATGGTGATAGGCATCGAACTGACCATGTCCGGAGAGGAAGTAGGTGAGGGAATAATTTTCCTCCCGCCTGTCACCATCACTTTCGTCGCCAGAGCCCAGGAATTTTCTTCGCCACTCTAGTGCAAGCAACACGACAGAAATCGTTTAATATATCACCATAACAGCAGCAAAGGAGACCGTGCAGTAGGCGCAAGCGATCCTTAGAGATCCGATGCGCTGCACCGAAGTGAGACAATCTTGAACATTTCGTCCTGCAACCGCATCTGCCCAGACCTCCACACCGTACAGCAGTATCGAGTTGGAGACCGACACCAGAAGCCGTCTTTTGGCCTCTCGCGGGCCTCCAACGTTCGGAATTAACTGTTTAAGCGCTCCCGCAACCTTGGCGGCTTTGTCAGCTGCTCTCTTGATGTGCTCCCAGAAGGTGAGCCGTGAGTCGACCCACATCCCCAGGTAACGCATAACTGGGCTTGCACAGATTGCCTCACGCGCAACGCTCAGGCGGAAGTCCCTCTTGAACCACCTTTGCCTGGTAAGGACGACCATCTCCGTCTTGTCGATCACTAATTCAAAACCGTTATCCCGCAGCTACTCTGACACTATCGTAACCGCCCACCGAATTTTGCGCTCGGCCTCCTCTCGGGATCTTGCAGTGACGTGATGTGACGTGCAGTGCTATGTCATCAGCAAAGCCCGTCAGCTTGACCCCCGGAGGCATTTCAAGGCACAAAAGTTCATCATAGACTAGGTTCCAGAGGTCAGGGCCAAGGGCAGAGCCCTGTGCAACTCCTGACGTCAGGCGCCTCTCTCTTGGTCCATCCTTCGTGTCATACCGGAGTACACGATCCTCGAGATAGCTATCCAGTATCTTTCTGAGATAGTTTGGCACATTCTGGAGCCATAAAGCCCTCATAATGTCGGACCATTTTGCTGAGTTAAAGGCATTCTTGACGTCAAGCGTCGCCAGAACACAGTCGCTCCTCGTCTTATAAGAGGGTTTCCAAGCCTCCCTAACCGACTCAAGAACCTCAGCCACAGCCATAACCGTCGAACGCCCCTTTCGGAGTCCATACTGATTTTTCGAGAAGCTGACTTCTCCTCTTAAGCGAGTTCTTATCAGCCTCTCGAGAATTTTCCCGACATTATCCAGCATGCACAAAGGTCGGAGCAACGACGGAACCAAGGGGGGTGGTTTGCCCTTGTCCAAAAGGACGAGCCTTTGGATCTTCCACCGCTCGCTGAACAGTCCGTTGCGCAGAGACGCATTGAACATGTCCAGCAACTTTTTTTCGTGGCTATGACCTTGAGGACTTCAGACGGCACCCCGTCCGTACCTGGGGCCTTGCGGCCCGGTGTCTCCGAGATCACCGACCTTAATTCATCAAGGGTGAAGAGAGGCACCTTGCCTATACTTATGTCCTACCGCCTCCTTTCAGGATGCTCCAAAAAGAGACAGAAGACCACCCTCTCTAGAAGGAAGGCTCCATCGGCACCACCGGGTCCGAGCCGCGAAGTCTTTTAAGCTTGATTGAGTAGCCCAGGCCCATGTGTCCTTATCCGCCTCAGCAATAAGCTCGTGCCTGAATCGGTTCTTGCTCACCTTGATCGCCCGCACCAGGATACTTTTTACTTCCCTGTAAGCGTCAACAGCCACCTCTGCGTCTTCACGATTTCTGTGTCGCTGTGCAAGACGGCGTAGGCGCTGCGCCTCTCCCCGCAGGTTGGTAATTTCTTCGGTCCACCAGTACCACAAACGCTGGTCCCGCCTGGTGATTCTTTTGGGCATACACGCGTCACACCACTTATTGACACGTCTCATAGTGCCCCCTACGGGAGCCTTGACCTCCGCTGCATTAGTGATCTTGGTTATATCAGCAAGAGAGGGCGTGCTTTTTATGGCTTCCCGCAACAAATATCGACCGAGCTTTGCCACGTTCCACCCGACCGCGAGCCTTCGAGGTACTTCTCGCCAGTTTGCACAATAATTTTCGTTTACCACCAAGCTGATATATTGGTGGTAACTAGCCGTGTAGTCCTCCAAAACCTGTCAGTCAGACACCCGTGCCGCCTTTTGTGACGACGCTAGTGTAAGGTCGATGATCGTTTCCCAGTTTCCGGGTCGCCTGAACGTTGCTGAACTACCCGAGTTCATGACGATGAGATCTAGCCTTGCAGCCATCTCTAGCACCGCCTGCCCTCTAGAGTTGGTTCTTGGCTCCCCCCAAGCGATGGCTTTGGAATTAAAGTCCCCAGCCATGACCACGTCACCAATCTTCCCACACACGCGAACAGCGTCTTCGAGTATGGCAAGCCGTCCTTTAAAGACGCCAATCGGAATGTTAGGGGAAATGTAGCAACTCACATAGAATACTCTTCCACACCTGATCCACACGAACCCATCTCTGCCCCCGGTGTCGGATATGGAGAACTTTTCGCTGCGAATCAGGATGGCGGCGCATCCAGTTCTGTCGCAGTATCAGCCCCGACCCGGTAACGTGCGGGACGGCTTATTTATACGGAAAAACTGGTCCAGCAGATCGTGCGCAAGCACAGTCCTATCAAGGGTCACCTGCAGGATTACCGCCATTTCCGCTAAGCTGATCCTGCAGGCACCCTAGACGCTCGACACCTGGCAGCTCCAGTGACGTGTCTGGTTTCCGGCTTCGGGACCACGTTCTCACACAGGGAAGAGCACGCTTTTTTTATACAGCTTCTTTCCACGTGGCCCTTTTCACTACACCTCCAGCACGCTACAGCCCTGTCAGGCCCATCATACTGCCTTGCAATGTGGCTGAAGCCCAGGCACCTGAAGTAGTGCTCAACTTTGGGCTTGAGTCGCATCTTGCAGTTGACCCAGCCCAGCCTTATATGATCCGTCTTATCGAGGATAAAAGCCGCCGTCGCGAGTGCCTTAATGTAGGCAACCTGATTTTCCCTGATAGTGCTGGCTGACAGCCATGCAGCCATATCAGGGGCTGTCTTTTCACCAAAGCTGCCCCTTACGGCGACCTCAACGTCTTCCCTGGTCACCGTAGGATCGACGTCCCTGATTTCTTAAGTCAGGCTCGAGGCTAGGGTCCTAACATCGCCAGCGTCCGCCGCAACGTTTTTGAGCGCATTGGCAAACGCATCGTGGCAGCTGGCCATAGTGTTTCTTAGCTCTACGAGAACACTACCTGTTCTCGTCTCCCTGATTGACCCCACACCTGCCCCAAGCCCAGTCATGTCGACCTTCTTTATCATGGCCAGGACTTAAGCATTCGTTTTGCCTTCTGCTAGCAAGTAGTAGAACGCACACCGCAGGGACAGCGGTAGTGTGGGACTCGGTGAATTTTTTTTCCTAGACCACCCATACCCACCGAACCCCCCCCCCCTCCTCATGCTGCGTGGCTTTAGTTCCACCCCGGAACCGCGTTAGCATTACTTCAGGGTGGAGCCACCAGAAAGACCATCGGGTCTCACAGCATTAATTGCTAGAGGTGCGAATATTCTCAACTTCTGAAAAGGACTCGGGGTCCCTGAGGACTGGCACCTTTGTCTAGTGCTTCTTTGTAGGCTGTTTTCTTACCTTTTAGCATTGATCGCTTTTGCCGGCCTACTCAGGGACCCCTGCTCCCTGCGCGGCAGCTCTCTCTTCTTTCTTTGCCGAACAACAGACGCGACAAAGCCATCCACTGCCCTCCATTCCTCTTCGGTGCATAGCATCTCAGAGATAATAATTTCAAGAGCGGTGCCATGCCCAGCTTGTCCATCAGCTGCTGGCGCTCACGGTACCATTTCTCACACACGAAAAACGTATGTTCGACGGTATCGTCCATCGCAGGGCAGTAAGTGCATGTGGGTGATGCTATCACCGCTATGCGATGGAGATAGGCATTAAACTGGCCATGCCCGGAGAGGAACTGGGTGAGATAGTAATTTACCTCTCCGTGTCCTCTCTCCAAACATGGCCGCAGGTGCCGGATCAACCGA